TGGTTGGGATCTGGTGTTGGACAGAAAACACCTGAAAAAATTACAAGGGGAACCATTGAAAACTTTTAAACAAAACCTGTAGAACTGCTCAGTAAAACCACCGTAAAACATTTAGTAGCAATTATTAAAAATAAAAACGTAGGAATGGTTTGAAGCGTCTCCACAGTACGGGTATGTCTTTGAAAGTCCAACCTCATTTTCTTCTTCTAAAGACAAATCAGTAGTTTGCATAAGATCACATCAGTATGAAAATTAATGCATATCATAATTCTTCAAGTAAATAAAAGAGTGTCAGTAACATTAAAATTCTCTTAGATTTTGTGTGTCAGACATTCCTAGAAACACCCACACACACACACACACACACGCACGCACGCACATCCACACACACACATAAACACACAGACACACAGGAACCCTAGTCTTGTTATCCGGGGGCCTGTCTTGCAGGCAGCCTCTCTAACGCTGAGTGATGTTTAAATTAGTTTACAATTTAGGCTCCTCGCTATCCGCAGACGGCTCTTAACTCAGTGTGTGTACGCTGTGTGTTTTTGTGTGTGTGTGTTTGTGCGTGTAAGAGCGTAACAAATTGTTGCCAGTACGGCAGACATCTAATGACTTCAAATTAGCTGCCTGGCGCTCGCCTTGACACGTTGTTACCACTGTTAGGAGCCTTTGTGTGCGTGTATCGCAAATGTGCTTTAGTGTGTGTGTGTGTGTGTGTGTGTGTGTGTGTGTGTGTGTGTGTGTGTGTAAGAAGCTCTGCGCAGCCATATCATGAAACATAAATTGGCTTCACCTCCCCCCTCTCTGCCTCTGTCTTTTTTGTCTTTGTCGCTCTTTCTCTCTCCATCAATTTGATTAAAAAAATTACTGTACCATGGCAAGCAAAGACTGGTGTGTGTGTGTGTGTGTGTGTGTGTGTGTGTAGGCATGGTGAACACAGTCATCCCTCACATGCACACAACGAGATGTGAAACAAGATGGCTGCTAACAGGTTAACAGGTCTATCCTCTTCTGTTCTACGAGTGTATGGGCGTGTGTGTGCATGTGTGTGTGTCAGATGCTGATAAAGAATGTGAAGGAGGCGTATTTCTATCTGACAATCCTTTCCTCTGTGAGTGAACAGTAGATCACTTTCTGTGAGGGCATGATTGTGTGTGCACGTCTGGCACGAGTGTGAGTAAAATATCGGTGTTCAGTGCTGTAAACAGCGAAGATTTCATAAGGTGTTGACATCACACACACACACAAACACACACACACACACACACACACACACACACACACACACACTTGGAAGATGAAGAGTTCTATCTCTCTCTCTGAACAGTGGATTGCCTTCCTCGTTCATCTAATCACACCATCTTCTCTCCTCCTCCAAGCAATTGTTGCGCTTCGCTCCCTTTTCACAGAACGCTGCACACACACACACACACACACACACACACACACACACACACACACACACACACACACACACACACACACACACACACACACACATTCTTGTATTTGTACCCATGTTAGGACTTTGCATTGACTTCCATTCATTTTATTGAGTCCACTAAAACATTTGAGCCGGACACGGGCCTAAAATCTGAGCCCGTGTCCGGCCCGGCCCGAGGGGGTGGAGCCCCAGCCCGACCCGGTTCGAAAAAGTTTTCAGGATTCTCGGGCCCGACCCGAGCCCGACTTTATTTTAACCAACTAAATGAAAACAAAGTGCGTCAATCCTGACCAATGTGTTAAAAGACGTGCAGGATCTGATCAATTTGTTTTTCCCTCATTTACCATCATGGAGATGACGGCACACTGGCTCTGGTGTTAATCAAGTTAAATTTGATCTCTTTCCAACAATTTTCACAAGAAAACAGAACAGCTAAAAGCAGGGCTTGTGTTGTGTTGACCGGACAGTTCCCGTATTTGACTGTTTATTTTGACGGAGAAAGAATAGAAAGAATTACCCCGACGCATGCAGACGAACTGACATTTTATTCTACTTACATCGCAGATGTAGCTAAATCACTCAAGAAAAGATTCCCATCTGAACATCTGAGCTGGACATCGCTCAGCGCAGCTAGCTGTCAGCGCATATGTGCACAGCGAGCTGAAGTTGTGGAAAGTGGCTTGGAGCGCGTTGCAGAACCAGAGCGTGTGCGGGAAGGTTCCTCCCACTGAAGCGAGTGTTATCCAAACCCGGTCTCTCAGAGAGACTTGTCACTTAGAAAATGTTCCCTGATTATGAAACTTTGGCTGAATTGTGCTTGTTCCTGTCTCCAATGTGGCGACGCATCCAGGAGGAGAATCCCAGAATCTCACATCGTCTTCAGCTCATAAAGCGCATATGATTACGCACAAGCGTGACGCGTCAACCCGGTCTCACAGTCAGACCAGGTTGGGCCTGTTCAGGTTTACGCAGACAATCTTTACATTTAGAATTGACTTACAGATATAAAATTAATTCAGTAAAATATAAAGCATTTTATTTAAATATCCATTCATTATTTTACAAGCACAGAGAGCCGCATCAGATTCAGATCAGCGGGAAGATTCCTCCGACTGAATTCAGTCGGACGAATCTTCCCGCATGCGCTCTGGTTCTGCGACGTGCTCCAATCCCCTCTCCACATCTTCAGCTCGCTGTGTACCTTATGTAGTGCACGCTGACAGTGAGCTGCGCTGAGCTCAGTGTCCAGCTCAGATGTTCAGATGGGAATCTTTTCTTGAGTGATTTAGCTACATCTGCGATGTGCGAAACGAATAAAGTGTCAGTTCGTCTGCATGCGTCGGGGTAATTCTTTCTATTCTTTCTCCGTAAAAATAATCCGTCAACTGGAACTGTCCGGTCAACACAACACAAGCCCTGCTTTGAACTGTTCTGTTTTCTTGTGAAAATTGTTACAAATTGATATAATTTAACTTGATTAACACCAGAGCCAGGCGCACTGCGCCGTTATCTCCGTCACTGTAAATGAGGGAAAAACAAATTGATCGGATCCTTTTCTGACCTTCCCCACCTACAAAGTTTAATTACAACAATCAAACGTGACAGAGCCTGGATTTGTATTCTGAACAGTCTAAACATGTTTTAAAAAGAAACATTTGACAAAAGTGGCACCTGCTCAGTAAAACCACCAACAGGGTGAAAAATATCAAAATATTTTCGGCAGAGACGGGCTACAGCTTCTGGATCCACTTTATATGAATCGTTTTATTGATTATCGTCTTATGAAAGACAGCTTTGACGTACACGAGCGACCGGTACTGGCTGCTGTCACCTGTTGTGAGCAGCGCTCTGCTGTCTGAGGGTAGGCCCCGCCCACAACGCTGTGGCTGCTGTGGCTCCCAGTGTTTTCTTTACTGTGGGAAACAGGTAATAATGGCTCTTTGATGGGAACAGGTTGCCGACCCCTGGTATAAGTGTTTCAATTTTTTTAATGAATTTGATTAAAAATAAAGGCGCCCGGCCCATGTCCAAGGTAATTACACAGTCGTTGGCCCAAAGCCCGGCCCGAGGGCCGTCGGGCAGGGCCGACCTGAGGGCCTAGGGCTTCAGTGCAGGGCTCCAGTCCACTATGCCTAACCCAAACCCTAACCCTAACCAGTGTATTCCTAAAGTTATCAGTAAGTAGTAGTTGTAGTGGGGAGTACTCCGTATTAGGACCGGGTTTTGGACCATCGATCGTAAGAAGGTTAGTAAATATCCCAAATCCGGTCTTCACAAGGGTACAACTTGCACACTTGTAACACCCCCCCCCCCCCCCCCCACACACACACACGCGCGCACACACACACACACACACACACACACACACACACACACACACACACACACACACGCACACACAGCGCTCAGCAGACAATCTGGCTCAGTTTGTCCACTCATTTGTAAGAACAGTAAGCAAAGGAAATGACCATCATAATGCAAGCAAAGCATTAAATATTCGTGTGTGTGTGTGTGTGTGTGTGTGTGTGTGTGTGTGTGTGTGTGTGTGTGTGTGTGTGTGAGAAAAGTTCGAGGAGTTGTCACGTTGGATGTGTGTATGGAAGACCGGCATAAGGTTGAGACTTTAGATTGTTTTTATAAAGAAAAGCAGATTTTCACTGTTATTCTTAGCATACAGATCAATAACCTATGTCTGGTATTGTCCATATAGCAGTATAAAGATCAATACACTTACTAGAGGCAATGTGTATTCCTATCTCACTCACTTCACCTCGAGTTTTCATTCTCACTGTTATTTTCACATTTATTGATATATATACGTATCATTCATGTACCTGTTATCCAACACCACCAATGTTATTGTTATAGATTTACGCAGCATGACTAAATTATATTTATGTCTCTAATCTGGTAGCTCCCCCCCCCCCACACACACACACACCCACGGTTCAGCTTCGGTGATGCAACAACAGGCTATTCTGCCGTTTTCTATAACAACAAAAACCATATTTTCAGTTGACCGTGGGACTAATCTTTGGGCTAATCTGAGGTAATCTGATATTGCTGCTGCTCTTTCCCTTCTTGCTGCTGCCAGTCACTGAGACTTGAACCAGACTGAGCTCTTTATCTCTTCTCAAGTTTTTATTTATGCTTCCATCTTTATGTTCATTTTTGAGATCTCCATTCGCAGATATGCAGTAGAGGAGATTAGGACAGAAAAGGGGTCAGTTTAAGAGGATTAGATTCAGTTCTCTTTGCTGTAGAGAGGCACGGATGTGTTGCATTTGTCTCTCTGTCAGTTCGCCTACCTTTCTTATTTCTTTTTTTAACAAAACAACTCGTCTCATTGCATTTGAGATTGCTGAACCGTGCTGATGTTTCCATGTCAGACACATTTGATTTCAAACCTTTTCACGTCATTCTCTTTACTTTTGTATGCAGCTGTTTTCATAAACTTTTATAGAGGAAATAACAAAGCTGCATGTCCCACAGGCTACCTGTGGATAGAAGCAGGTTTGCAGTCTTTTCTCTCTGTTTGTTTAAAACCTACCAGGGATGTGTTTGGCCCAGCCAATGTTGACAACCAGCTCTCTGTCTGCCAGGTCACACAGCGTAGTCAGGGCCTTGATGTCGCTGTCTGGTACTGTCGGGTCGGGCATGGCGTATATCTTCTCTGGCTCGGCCACCAGCAGGTGAGAGACGATTTTGTTATCTGCAAGGCAGCCAAAGGCAACTGACATGACCACCAGACAAGGAGACAGACACAGAGACAGGGAGATAGTGAATTTATGTTTCGTCAATCTACAAGGTGTTCCACAGCCATTTGGGTGTATTACATGTCTGTAATAACATCAGTCTAAAGATGGTAATTGGTTATGCATGAATTACAACATGAAGCTTTATAAAAATCACACAACAAATGTAAAGTGTAAGAAAAATGCATGCTATTAAACTTTTGTTGCATTGTTAGCATTGGTCAAGAGCTACAAGTTACAGAATCACACATGAACATACACCAAAAACCAACAAAATATAAAAGTTTTTAACTTTTAAGTAAAACATGCTTCACTTTGAAATTAAAAGGCATTGCCACCAG